CAAATTTGGGGAGTCGAAGTCCAATACACAACTGGGGAAGGCAGTGTTGATTTATGAAAGTATTCTACATATCCACTTACCTATAATTATAAACGTTTCATTCTTTGTTCTACACTAAGGATTTTGTCTAAAGAATAGGTTGGTGTGCAACAAGGAAAATGACTGTGGTGACTTTTCTGATGAAGATAATTGTGAAGAAACCAAACGCCCACCCTGTGGGGATCGTGACATTGAGGTATCAGAACTTGGAAGAACAGCTGGACAAGGGTGAGTTCTAGAAAATGTTCATGAGAAAAATAAGAATTACATGTTGTGCTACCTGATAAGGCTGGAATCCTTAAAATGGTTTTCAAGAATGCAAAATTTGTGAAAACCTTTCTTAGTCCCACTAGGATCACATTCCTATCTGACTTTTATTTACACACACACACACACACACACACACACACACACACACATACACTTCAAAAGTTATTTGATTTCCTTGATTTTGCTCTGGCCTATCATGTATTTTCCTCTAAGTATCATAAGACATTTCTATGATGTGAACATTTTTTTTAAAAAAAAATTGAACATATAATAATGATTAACTGGTGTGCAGCGCCACAGATTTTTTTTTATCAATCCCTTGTGGTTAATGAATTACCATTCTGCTTTCTGATCCCACATTTGGACATCATGAAGATGTAAATTCTTCATTATTTTTAGCTGCTTCTACATTGGGAAGAACAGACCTGCCCATCAGTGATTAGAATTTTCTATCTGCTAACCTTGGCATCTTATGGATGTTAGCAAAGCCAGTTTTATTTCTTCTGTTTTGTACTGCTGCCATGGCAGCAGCATGCCAGCGTAGAACAAATCAATCTAGCCTAGATCTTAACAGATGTGTAAATACAATATGGATCAGATTCATCCACTCTTTTCTAGCTAAATGAAAACCTGTTCCAAATTATCTTGATCTGCTTTAGAAAGGGCTTCAGATTAATCCAGTGTAGCCCCATTAATGGATTAATATAGGTATAAACATATAAACCCATGTGATAACATGGATTGTTATCCTTGAAATAGTGTGATCTTATGAGTTCCAGGAACCATACTTTCCCTGTTGTAGCACTTACCCTCTGGAGTGATATCCCCCCCCCAACTTTTGAACAAGTCCCACTGTAATGACACGCTGAAAATAATTAAAAACTTGCCAGGCTACAGAAAAGGGTCATTGTAAAATCCCCATAACTTTGGCTTTTTATTGGTCTTCCCTGGGTAGCTAGGATTCTTTTATAAGTTTTCTTCTCTATTCTATTATTTGTAAGATACCCAGAAATATTAAGAAGTCAGGGAGGCTCAAAACTGAGTTAAATAATTACTAAAGTCTACCAGGCAATGTATGCTAATATTTAAGGCAACATAATACTCTTTGTTTGTGTGAATTTAGTGGTTATGTTACCAGGCTAGAAACCAGGAGGCTGTGAGTTCTAGTCCCACCTTAGGCATGCCTGCTGCAAGGATGATTTGGGACCAGTCACTCTTAAGCCCACAATATCAATGCTCGGGTAGCAAACCAGTTCATCAGTTCTTTTTGCAACCAATGGATCAACACATATTCGATAAAAATGAACTTGTGGGAAAATGCTAGGACCAATATATATATATATATATATATATATATATATATATATATATATATATATATATATATATATATATATATATATATATATATATATATATATATATATATATATATATATCTTTGTTATTTTTATGTATATTACAGATTTGTCTTTGTTGTACTGGCTTGATTTTCTGATAGTATGTTCTGATAGACATTTAATAGTACAATGAGAAGGTTGATGATTAATACTCTTCTTTCCTTCCTTCCTTCCTTCCTTCCTTCCTTCCTTCCTTCCTTCCTTCCTTCCTTACTTACTTCCTTACTTACTTACTTACTTACTTACTTACTTAGTGTGAATGTGCTGGGAATGAAACCGGCTCAAACTGCATTTCACAATGAGTTCTACAATGGCATCTGTGACAGAGTCCGTGATGGGAACACAGCCACTTATTACCGCAAGCCATGGAATACGGCTGTCCTCAATTATGACGTAAGCTTCTTTGGGTAAAGCAGAGTTTTGTTTTGCATCAAAAGGTAAAATCCACTTTGGCTCAGCCTCATTTCCTAAAATGTCATGGGTATGTCCATATAGTTTTCTTGGCAACATTACATAAATGCTTTGCCATTGCCTTAGGATTTTTTAAAAATGGCCTTGTCTAGTTTACATCTCTGGAATTTCTGGTCTCCCATTCAGATAGTCCTCAGTTCTGGTCCTGCTTTGCTTTTTGAGATTAGCCAAGATCAAGATTTTGTTATAGCAAAATAAACAGGCAAACCAAAATGCAGTGCTGTCTAGTTTTAGGGGGGGGAAAGGCAGGTAATATTAAGGGCTCCTTATCTATGTTTCCTAATTCAGACTTCCCATCATAGTGTTGGCCATAGGCATTGGGATTGCAACACTGAGAATTTCCCACCAGCTGTAACCCCTATATGGCTGAATGGCATGTGTTATAAATATTTTGTCAACACCATAGAGATTAAAATACACTTTCTATGCTGAATACAGTTGGCATTCTGTGTATTGGTGTTTTATTTATATATAATAATAAAAGCAAGCAGTTTACTTAGTTAACAAAAATGTGGAATTTTATCCCTCTTCAGATATTCACCTGCAGATACAAGGGATCACCACACTACCAAATTTTATTTGTTATTGTTTAGTCAGAAGTCTGAAGAAGAAATAGCCTCATGTTGGCCTTAGCATCTTTTTATGAGTCTGTGTAGTATAGGAGAGACCAATTCACCACATACTTTTCACCCCTCACACATTTAGATGATTTTGTTAGCTACAGATATACAGTTCAGCTATGCAGAGCAATCTGAAGGTCTCCTGACTTTGGAATTGGGATGGCAGCATAGGATGGTCTGAAAGTGATCACGCAAAAGATATTCCAGGGAAGTGGATGTGGATGTTGATTGCTCCTATTTAGTATCCTATTATGATTTATGTTGATTGCTTAGTATCCTATGATTATCATTGAGTGTTGTATCTATGCTTTATGATGATTGTATTTTATGATTTTGATTATCACTTGTTGCTTGTATGTACACTGAGAGCTTATGCACCAGAGACAAATTTCTTATGTGTGTCCAATCACAGTTCGCCAATAAAGAATTCTATTCTATTCTGTTCTCTTCTGCTCCACTCTGTTCCATTCTATTCCACTCCATCCCATCCCATTCATGTCAATCCCAATAGCTCCTGGCATCTCTGCTGAAAGTTCATTGGCTATAGATTCACCACTGGACTTGGCCTTCTTCCGTCCCCATGTTCTGTTATAGAAGAGCCCCTTATTTTCCAGAAGACACAGTATTAGTTGATTATTTACACCAATATTTCACAAACTTGGCCACTTTCAGGTGTATGGACTTCAACTCTCTTGCTGGCTTGGAAAATTTGGGAGTTGAAGTCCACACATCTGAAAGTGGGCAAACACTGATTGACTTACACTAAGAAAGAAACTAACAGGAGTGATTCAAACAGAGAGAAACGTTCCACACCCTGGATAAATTCATCAGTGGTGCTAATTCAAAATCTGGTTTACTAACTTATGGCTTAGTGTCTTGTCTAAACTAAGCACACCATGGGATACCACAGGGTGTCTCACAGCCTATGTTGTTTATCATTACCTATCTGTTATCTGCCATTTAACTGTACATTTTCTGTCTTTCAAGACAAGAGGAGACAAACACTTTACAAGTGAATTCTATAGTGACCAAATATCAACAATGAAAGAAATATACAAAACAAAATCACAGTCTTTTGATGTGAGCTTATCTGTTAAACTGAAACCGACTGAGTCCAATATAACAGTTGATATTGGGGGAAGCTTCCATGCTGGCAAATCAACCAACATGAGTGATTTCTTGAAAAAAGCCAAAGGAACGGTAAGTTTTTTAAAAAATATATCGTAGGTAAATATACTTTATTCCAGAGGAATCATAATTCACATGCCATAAGAAACACTGAGCCATTGGCTGAATTCATGCTGAACTGGGTTAATGAAATACCAAAAAATATTAACCTTGTTTAGTTTTTCAGTGTTTTAGCATGATGTAAAAATCCAACCTGTTTTATTAGTTTATGGGTTAAAGTACTGTGCAAATCCCCATAATGGATTATCTTGATAATCAAAATAAAAATGCATGTTTACAGAGACATGAAACCTATAGTCATCTGCTTACTTTCTCGAGTAAGGCACACAGGATGAAACAATGACCTAGAACTCTAACCCAACCCACATACTAATCAATTTGGGAACCCCTCTTGTAGCCCTGCTTTGTAGCCAAGAATGTAGTGATCAGAAATTGGGTCTTTTCAGTATCACAGTGGGACTGGATATTTTAGAATGGAGGTGTGACAGTGGAGGCTTTTATGCTTCTCCTTTACTATATACAATGGAAGTATTTACAATAGGTATATACAACAAGATCTTGGCTTCTACCCAAGGTCAGGTTTCTTCTTAAGAAGAAGAAATCTCCCTCCCAGAGACTACTTCCTTCTTATTCTCCTCATAAATACATAACTTCTTCCACCTTCACTTTATCTCCCTCTTCCTCCTTCTAGAGCAGGGCTCCTCAGAATTCCTCAGCCAGCGTGCCTGGAAGTTGAAATCCACAAGTCATAAAAGGGCCAAGTTTGAAGACCCCTGCTCTAGAGTTATCAAGAGTGAAAGAAAGGAATGTTCCGGATTTATTAATGAGTATGCTTGGCACCAATTCATTTCTCTGGGACTTCTCTTCCTCCAAGGAAGCCACTTGTTGACTTTTCTTTGTTTTTGACCAGGAACTGACAACTGGTCTGCATACTCACATCAACTTTACTCCCCAGATTTTCTGTGTAGTCATGCCCTTCTAATGACAGTCTTTGTTGTTTGCAATTTTTCTCTTCATTCTTCCCCTCTTTTTCTCTTCTCTCAATCTCCATTGTTGGGTTAGACTGACAGCAAGTCCCCCAGCAAACGAGGAGGTTGATGTCCCCCAGGCTCTGGTCTCCAGCACCTATATACAAGACTAGACTGATGGGAATACGGTCTACCAATATTGGACAGCAGCCAGTTCAGCTCATCAGCCCACACCTGCACTTCAAGGCTAGAATTGAGCTTCTTCTCCCCCTTTTCTCTTTTCATTTGCTGACTCACGCCAGCACAGCAGCAACCATAGTAAAAACCATATGCCATCTCAGTAATGGCTTTCTCTCATGGAGGAAGTAATCATGATTTCTAAACACTTGTTCATTTAGGCCAGAGGTGTCAAACCCATGGGCTGGATGCATCATAGTGAAACTGCGTTTACCCTATTGCCGGCAATGGCAAAAAAGTCGTGATACATTGCGACACATCACGTGACGTTGCGAGTTTGACACCCCTGATCTAGGCATTTTCAGAATAACAGCTGTCTCTAACGACCAAACCACCTGAAAATTAATTCTAGTTAATTCCAAGTTTTATTTTATAAAGTAGCATGGCCTTCTTCAAGAGGATGAACAGTTCCTCTTAACTATACTCCCACAATTAAGAATAGCAATACATAATTTGGTAAACTTTCCTGGACTACTCCATGGTAAAACTGGGTGTTTTGTCTGGAAAAAAGCCTGCTCTGTTCAATAAAAATGGTCGGGGGCATCAGAACTGGAGAGCAAGCTTAGACAATCACTATCACGTGTGGGGAAGAACCATTAGAATGGTCACTTGAAATAAATGAAAGTTTAAAAATTCAGGGTTGTGTTTTCTATAAAATGTCCATATTCTCACACGTACATATGTTTAATGACTCATAATTTATTTGTGATTTGGCTGCAAAATAGCTGCCTTAATCACCAGGCATAGAGTGGTGTAAAAAAGAGAGCATGCTGAGAACCCTTTGCTAAAAACCCAGTGTATTAAACTAAATTAAATTTGAAAAACAGGCAGTTCCTGGTGTACCTAAATCTGGCTTTACAACAGTGGTTCTCAACCTTTTTAATGCCACGACCCCAACAGGTCGTAAGCCGAGGACTAAACCGGTCGTAAGTCAAGGACTAAACCGGTCGTAAGTCGAGGACTACCCAACCGGTCATAAGTCGAGGACTTTCCCTGCCCGGGAGCGCCGCGCATGCGCGGTTCCGCCCCCTGCGCCGGCCGAGGCGTAGCTGGCAAGCGGCAGAGACGGAGCAGGCCGACCACCAGCTGGCCCAGCCCAAGGGAGGTAAGGCACCCGCCGGAAAAGGGGAAAAAATGGCGGACAAAAAAAATGGCGGACAGTCTTGCTTGGCGACCCCCGTGAAATGGTCGATCGACCCCAAATGGGGTCCCGACCCACAGGTTGAGAACCACTGCTTTACAAGAACTCCAACTCCCATGTTTGTACAAATGTATCATATGCTGTCTTTATGGGCAAGAACTGTCTATGAGCCATGGTGCTGCATTGGTTAGGATGCCTTATGGCAGGCTGACTCTGCCCAGTCTGGAGGTCAATCCTGATGGACTCAAGGTTGACTCAGCCTTCCATCCTTCTAAGGTCAGCAAAATGAGGACCCAGATTGCTGGGGGCAATTTTTCTGACATTTGTAAACCACTCAAAGAATGTTGTAAAGCACTATGGAGCAGTATATAAGTCTAAGTGCTATGGCTATTGTCTATGGATTCTATGACCTGAAAATTGCTCATATAAACAAATTTACAATAATCAGAGGACAATGTAAAAGAATACCACAATCTCACTCTCTACCCTGTGGATATAATAACTTATGTATTATTGTTTTCTCTTTACAGAATCCCATCTATTTACATGTCAAATCTAATATAAATCTGGGAACTTTCCAAATGCGAAAACGTGATTTGCGCTTGAGCGAGACATTCCTGGAAGATCTAAAGTTTTTGCCAAGTACTTATGAGAAGGGAGAATATTGTAAATTTCTTGAAACATATGGAACTCATTATGCACAGAAGGGAACCATTGGAGGAAAATATGAGCTAATGTATGTGTTGGATAACCAAACTCTTTCATCACATGGTAAGGACAGAATGAAAGTCATCTCTTATACACAAGGGTAAACTCTGGAATAATGGCATAGCTGGCAATCAGGGCAATTGATTTCTGACTATAAGCCTGTTTTTTTAAAACTGAGTTCTTCAAAAATCTCAGCTTGGGTTGGTTCAGAGTAACAATTGCACCTTATGATGTTTATATTGAGTCGCTGTTAATTTTGTTGTTGAATTCTTCATCTCAAAGGCAATTGATAGATTCCCCCTATAAACTTACAACCTTTGGTGCTTGCTTCACATGATTTTAACCTTTTTCTATTCTTTTAGTTACAATAAATACATGGATTGGAATCAGACTGGTTGACAGGATAAGTGCCAGCTTCCATCATTATGAGTTCCCCCAAAATTTTATTTATCAATTTATTTCTTTACTTATCAAGTTTATATACCTCCCATCTCAAGTGGATGGTTAACAAAAAACTTAAAAAGAAACATAGTTAAACATAATATTAAAAACAGACATTAAAAGTTAAAAGGTTAAAAATTACAAAAGATTAAACGGGCCAAAGGCATGCCCTTAGGCCATCAACCACTCCCAGAATTGCATGCTACTTTGAATTCCTTTCATATATACTCCTAGAAAATATTCTGAGTGGATGCAGCCCAGTGCTTTGATTGGAAATGCCCCCCGCATCTGCCCTGGAGAAATATATAATGCCACAGGCAATCAGTAGTGTAGAACATGTCCTGGAAATCTGGAAAGGGTGGCAGGGGGCATTGTAGTAAGTCTCTTTTTCTATAAATGGATCTTGTATGACTGTCCATGTGTATCATGGCAGCCTTTTTGTGACCTGGCAAGACTTCACACCTCATTTGTTCCTTCCCCATAGGCCAGGGAGGTAGCAATATGTGGCTAGTTCACAACAACTAGTTGGTATTTTGAAGATGTGTCCGGTCTTAGAAGCTCTATTTGATGTTCCCAAACCCACTGACCTTCTCATTGTCCTTGTTAGCATTCTATAGGAAGAGGTCTGTATGTAAGAATAATACAGTGATACAATGATAATCAGCTCTTGCTCTGGGATAATTTCAGGGATAAACCAGTTTTCATATCAACTCCTCATAGTGAGTTTTGTTTAGAGGGATCATAAAAATTTGAAATGGAATCCTCCATTGAAATAGCCTACACAATCAAAGTGTGTTATTATAGCCATTTCACTACATGTCATTCATTTGTGATTAAGGTTAGCTGGATCATGTCCAATATCTATTATGCAAGGAGAGAGAAAATGAACCTCAACTAGAGAGGAAAAAACCTAAGTGTAATGTATATAGTTTTTCTTCAGCAGAACAGTAACCAGATTATTTATCAATTTGCTATACAATACACTACTTCAAACATTAATATTGTTAGAAAATAAATTATGAAAAAGTAAATCATTTGGAGTAATGTTTTACAATTAACCAAATAACTACCTTTGCTTAAAACTAACCTGATTCACCACCTATCTTTACTTTTGGCTTTGCCATAGAGTGCTTATTAACCTGCTATGATACTAGCCTTGAAAGGAATTTTATTTGCATTCAACAAATTCTTAACATTTTCTGAACTCAGGACTCACCAGCCTTTAAATAACATTTAGGAGCTTTATAATATAAGGGGAGATGTTCACAGCTTCTCAGGGGGGAAGTTCCTTTACAGGTGAATTCAAATCTGCCTAATTCTAGGGATGAGCCAGACTCAGACTGAAACCATTTTTCCCTACGTGCATTTTTTACTGGTGCCCTGATGTCTCAGTCCTTGTTCTGGACCACACCAAGTTATGCATTTCCATCAGCCTTTCCCCAAACTGGTGCCTTCCAAATATGATGACTATAATTCTCAGACTTCTTATCCAGCATCAAAATTATATTCTAACTTAGATGGAGAGCTTCTGATTAGGAAAAAAAAAGATTGGGCAAGTTACACACTAGAGATAGTCAGTCTGCACTTCTGATTTGAGAACTTTTGTATTAAAAGTTGGTTCAGAGCTACTGTTGTTTCCCTGAAAGCAGCCATTAGGAATGACATCTGAAAAACAAATAGAGATGGGGGAAGAAAAATAAAAAGAAAGGGCCACGAAGTTAAAAAAAATCTACAATACTTTCCTCCTTGCAATTTCTTCCAATGGATATATAAAACCAGGAATTTGATAGCCTATTTTCTGTGTAACAATTTTGTACACCTCTAATCATTTTTATTGACTCTATTTTCAGGGCTCACTAAAGGTGATGTCAATGAATGCCTAGGCTTTAATTTAGGACTTACTATCACCGCAGATATTGCAGAAGCCAAATCGGAGATTAAAGCTAAACAATGTAAATCTGGTGGATTTAAAAATAGTAAGTACATCAGCCCCTATCATCTTCTGACATTTTTATGCCCAAGTTTGCATATTGATTGGCACATTATATCCTTCATATAAGAATTAAGATATGTTATTGGACATGTCAATCACATGCTGTATAATCACATTAAGTAATGAACAATGCTAATGCATAGATTCATGCCAATAATATATAATGAGCGGTGTGGTGGCCTAATGGTAAAGACCAGGGCTTTTTTTGTCATAGAACGCCCAGAACGGAGTTCCGGCATCTCTTTTGGATGGAACCTTGTAGGGTAGGCAAGGCGGGTTGTATGACATGTGTGAGTTCCAGCACCTTTTTTTTTTTTTTTTTACAAAAAAAGCACTGCTGAAGACACTCGCCTCTCATTCAGAAGGTTGAGTGTTCAATCCTAGGTAGCAGCAGATGTTTCTCTTGTAGGGCTCAAATAAAAAAATATCTGCTGCAAATGCTCTACTCCAGACATGTCAAACTCGCGGCGTCATGTGGTGTCGTGCGACGTATTGGGACTGTTTTGCCATTGCCACCAATGGGGTGGGTGCAGCTTCCATATGACGCGTCCGGCCCATGGGCTGGCAGTTTGACACCCCTGCTCTACTCTATCCAGTCACCCTTAGCCATGAAAGCCTGCTGAGTGTCACTGGGTCAATCATTCTCAGTCCAACCTACCTCACAGGTTTTATTATTGTGAGAAAATAGGAGGAAAAAGGTATGTTCACCTCCTTGAGATATTTGTAAAAATAATAAAACCAGAATACAAATAAACAAATAAATAAATAAAAATAAAATATTTCACTAATGTGCCAATCACTATATAATGCCATGATATAGTGTTAATGTGTAGCTATATGCCAACTATTTGTGTGAAGGGACTTTCATGAAAGTTGAAGTTCATTAGATTGATGCAAAGCAAGCAAAGAAGGCAGAATTTTTTGCTCAGGAAAATTTCAACTGATGCAGTGTACGGAAGAGTACCAGACTAAAGAATCTGACAAAGACACAATAAATTATACTTCACAAGACAACAGATGGTTGCCTGGACATAATCAGGCAATGGGGCTCTGCTAGAAGAGCTCCCAGATATGTGAGAAAAAAGCCAAGATGGATTGGCCAAGTTTCAGCAAAAGTATCTATGGAAGGTATAAGAGCCTTGTAGTCTGTGGAAACTCTCACCCAGAACAACCTTCTGTATAGGGGTCCTACCTCGAGACTTATGGAAAAAGCTAGACTAGCTCAATTAGATTTTGCCCATAGGATCTGTTAATGGATGTGAAGTTTTCAGTTCAAAAATTAAATAGGAATGCTAAACAAGCATTTGTTTTTACGTGTCTGAGTCTCTGAAACAAGACAGTATTTGAAGATACTTTCCAATATCAGCAGCTTACATAAAAGAGTGGAACTTCAGCCACATAGCAGAAGCTGCCATCTTGAATTTTCGCTTTCACACACACATATACCAGAGGCCCTCTGTGTTTGTGCGTGTGTGTGTGTGTGTTATTCAACAAAGGCAAATTTGATTTATCCCTCCTCTACGTGATCTATTTCCATTCCTCATCCTTAATATGTATTTGTGCATTTCAAACTTTAGTTTAGTTATGTACTAAAAACAAAATTTCCTTATCTATAGTTTTGTAATCCTTACATATGCAGAGCACCCACCCACCCCCAGTTTGGCATAGTGGATTTTATATTTCCCATGCTACAGAATGTCTTAACTGTATTTTATTTCATTGATGATTTAATTTTTTTAAATATTTTAATAAACTTTAACCAAAGCACTAGAGTATACTAGTATACTAGAGTATAATAGAGTATATTACTACAGTATAGTATTAGCTAGAGCTTTCTTTCAGCTAAGCTCAACTCTTACTGCCTGTTTGTTGTCTATGACAACAAACAAATATTTGCCATTGTTTTCATACAGAATTCTTTTCAACTTTCCAATCTAGCATATAACCCTGGCATTTTCTCAGAGTCTCTTGCCCAAACACTATTCATATCCAAGCCCATACGCCTTTTTCATGAACAGCCAACATATTGCCACATATTATGGTAAGTAAAGTAGAACACAAGAGAAGAAAGAAATGTTGAACTAAGGCAAATGCAGTAAAATAGAGTGAGATTTGTTTATCACTAAGTAAAGCACATGGCAAATCTAGACAGCATACTAAAAAGCAGAGACATCACCATGCCAACAAAAGTGCATATAGTCAAGGCCATGGTTTTCCCAGTTGCAATGTATGGCTGTGAAAATTGGACCATAAGAAAGGCTGAGCGCCAAAGAATGGAGGCCTTTGAACTATGGTGCTGGAGAAGACTCCTGCGAGTCCCTTGGACTGCAAGGCATTCAAAATGGTCAGTCCTAGAAGAGATCAACACCGACTGCTCTTTAGAAGGCCAGATCCTGAAGTTGAAACTCAAGTACTTTGGTCACCTAATGAGAAGGAAGGACTCACTAGAGAAGACCCTAATGCTGGGAAAGATTGAGGGCAATAGAAGAAGGGGATGACAGAGAATGAGGTGGCTGGATGGAGTCACTGAAGTAGTAGGCATGAGCTTAAATGGACTCCAGAAGATGGTAGAGGACAGGAAGACTTGGAGGAACGTTGTCCATGGGGTCGCGATGGGTCGGACATGACTTTGCAACTAACAACAACAAAGCACATTCACTCTTTTTGTCCATGGCTTTCTGGTTTCAAGTGAGGAAGAAAAAATAAGATGCAGATCACTGTGTAATACCAGTGATAACACTTTAAATATTGGCAGAATTTTGTCTGAGCACCCCGTTTTTTATTTCTTTCTTTGTTTTGTTTGTTCAGTGTTGACTCCTGCCTGGATTAGTCCTGCCATTTCCTTGGCAATTTTTTTTCCAAAATGGTTTTCCATTATCATCTTCCCAAGAATGAGTGGCCCAATGTCACCAGGTGGCTATTTATTGGCTTCACAGTTTTAGCATATTGCAACACTTATTTGCCAAATTCTGCTTCTGCATGAATCTGGGGAGAATGGTTTCCCAGATAGCAAACTGACACTTGCTTTGAGAATGGTTGTTTCACATCCTGTGTATGGTGTGTCATGTTCTATGCAGAAGTGAACTGTACTCTCAAGGAAATCTGGCTGTAGTACAGGTAACATATTAGCAGCCATGTAGCCAGTTCTGATTATCCAATCAGTACAGATATCGTGGTATATGTAGTCCATTCTTTAGCAGAAATTATCTTTGTTGGGTCTTGGTAATGATAAATTCAGGGGGGTGTCTACCAACTGTAAAGGAGATGGTGGTCTATCCCTTCCTCAAGAGACCATTGCTGGACTAACTATTCTGGACAATTTTTGTCCCTCCGTAGCCTTTCCTTTTGAATGAAAGTGATAGACATGGTAGCTCCAGAGAACTGACAAAGTGAATCACCTGGACCCTTCTCTGTCAGGATTCATACCTGGATAAGGGACTGAGGTGTCATCGATCATACTTCTAGATTATCTCTGGCAGGAGCAGGATGAGATGCCACATGGTCTTAACCTCTCAAAGACTTCAATGACATTGAACATTTGAAAAACTGTGACTAGAATTTTCTAGCATGTTGCCAAATTGGGGCCATTTAATCCGACTGTATTTTGGAGGCTCTTACAATGGATTGGAGGCTTAATTCCCATGGGATATGTGTTGTCAGCTCATAGATTGATCCTAAGGCTGGCTTGCAGGCATTGATGAAAAAAGGATACTGAAATCATCTTTAGAAGCACAGTAGCTATATGTTTCTAAATCATGAAATAATTGAAGAGTGATCAGGCAAGATGCCTATTCTACAAGATTGCTTGGTCATTTAGGCAACATGGAATTCTAGCAGGAATTCTCTGGATCACCAGTCTGCAAGATGGAAAGGGCAATACCATGCCACCTGGAAGATGATTCCAGCAAATCACTTGCTACTAGTGAATATAGAAAAATTGAATTTCCACAATCTGGGCAAATATAGTTGGCAGAAATTCCTAGGTAATCCATTTCCAACTATTATCAACATTGTCATTTTCTTTTCTTCCAAATGAAAGTGAAAAAAATAAAATCAAATGAATATTTAGTTGCGCCTATCATCACCACTATCCTTATCTTTTTTTTTATTACCCAAGAACAATTGTTTTCTTAAGGCCACTCTTGCTATTATTTTACCTCCATTTTTTTTTCTCCTCAAGCTGATGACATGAAAAAGATTGAGGTTATCCAAGATGTAGTCTCTCTGATTCAAGGTGGGACAACAGCTACTTTAACAAAGTTGAATGAATTGCTTTCATCAAATGTCAAGGTAGTTGATGTAGAACAGTACGTCGAATGGGCTGCTACACTACCTCAAGCACCTACTGTTATAAGACAAGAGGTAAGAGAATTTTCTTCTATCTATCAATAAGTTGGAGAAGTTTTCAATCAATGTGAACCCACAAATGGAAGCATTTTCTTTCTTGAAGAAATATTTTAAAAGTTGCAATCTTTTCAGAGTCAAAGATTCTGGTCAAGTAAAGCTAAAAGTGAAGTTTGCTGTGATTTCCATATGTTTTCTAGGAATGGTTCACCATAGCTTTCTTCCAAGATGTATTTGACTTTACATTCTAGTTAAAGATCCTGGGATTTCTTAATAATCCTCCCTCCCTCCCTCCCTCCCTCCCTCCCTCCCTCCCTCCCTTCCTTCCTTCCTTCCTTCCTTCCTTCCTTCCTTCCTTCCTTCCTTCTTGCCTTTGCCTAGATAACAAAGCAGTTCTTTCAGTTGGAGACCTTCTACTTCACAAGAATGTAACTTTTTAGAGGTAGAGCTAGAGCAGGACCTAAAGAAAGAACTTTGTGGAGTAAGGGAAAAACAACATTAATTTTAATTTATGGTAAAATGGTACAATATAAACTTTAATTTATGGTAAACAATATAAACTTTAATTTATGGTAAAATTAATCAAATGGAATAGCAATAGCACTTAGACTTATATACCGCTTCACAGAGCTTTACAGCCTTCTCTAAGTGGTTTATAGAGTAAGCCTATTGCCCCCAACAATCTGGGTCCTCATTTTACCAACCTCAGAAGGATGGAAGGCTGAGTCAACCTTGAGCGGATGAGATTCCAACTGCCGAACTGCTGGCAGTCAGCAGTAATAGCCTGCAGTACTGCATTCTAACCACTGTGCCATCATGCAGGACAGAGTGAATGAATAGAATGTCCCATTCTATTCCTTTTATAATTGTATAAATTTATATAATTTATAATTATAATTATGTGACAATCTTTTATTGGGTGCCTCACGCAAGATTTTTGAAACCTATGGATTCCTATTTTAGTTTTCCAAGCAAACATTATTTCTACAACTAGCCTCAGCAGGAGTTCTGCAGTCATATCATTTGCATTAGAATGCTTGGTTGAATAGTCCCAGCTATCCTAATCTCATGAGCCAGATAGCACACAAAACCAAGCCCCCTCCAGTCCATAGAAAAACCTCTCTCCACGTAACTGGTCCCTGGTGCCCAAAAGGTTGGGGACCTCTATTCTAAAGCCTCTCACGGACATATCTAATATCATGAAAGAATTACTTGGAATTTGATAGAAAGATTGTTGCTTTACAACTATTAGTGATGGAGCTGCAGTAAATGAATAACTAAAGTCTTCATTTGAAAAAATCAATTACTGAGGAGAGGTGAGTATAACTGCAGGAGAACATGGATCTTCTCAGGATGAAGTGCTGTAGTCTGTATTTTCTTTATGTACAGAACTGCATAATGATAAAAAATATTTTATATGTATATAAAATATATGCACACATATATGTGGTTAAATATTTCTGCAGATAGCCCCAATTTCGGAACTCGTACCACTCAAAATCCCAGACTCCCGAATAAAGAAAGAAAATCTGGACAGAGCTGTAGAGGATTATGTGGCTGAATACAGCGTATGCAAATGCCAGCCTTGTCTACATGGTGGGACGGCAATGCTGATAGAAGGACAATGCGAATGTGCCTGCACTCCGTTTTACAAGGGAGAAGCCTGTGAAATACCCAAGTCAAGTTTCATACCAGGTTAGAAGTCATTCCGTGACTTAGCATACTTGGAAGGTTGCGATCAGTTATCACAGAGAAGTTAGGATTAGAAGTCAGGAGCTAAGCATTAAGAATTGATAAATAAGGTGAATAGGTACTTAGTAGCACTCTGGAGGCCCAGACTCAAGGAGGAGACTCAAATACATGCTTCACACATTGCACTGAGCCATAATATGATGTATCTTTTCTGGTTTGCTTATGGCTTCTCGAAGAGGGAGTATACCACCACCTCCTCCAAGAAATACCTTGTCTGTTAGGGATGAATTCACCATGACCTGGATCCAAACATATGTGATTTCTTGGGAGATCTTAACTAATCTAGAGGAATATGGATCTAATATACAGGTGTCTGGATTTATAGCCCTGAGAACCCTGTCTATACTCCAAAGGATTACAGGATCAGATTCTTCCAAGATATTAGGGAAAGATCATGTCTCAGTCAATTCGATTGCAGCTGCCTATTTCAAATCCAATTTCGAGCAACTGATAGGTGTCTAGAATATCCTTCACAGTTGTTCTATACATGTTGTTGAGATTCTTTCTTCCTCAGCATGTAGCAAGTCATTTTGAAAAGGGTTACTGATTGACTATCTACGGACACAATAAGAGCAGAAAAATAATAGTAATTTGCCACTACAAGTAACAGTGCCCAGGAAAGTACATTATAAACAAATAAAATATAATAGAGGCTATCACACTAAATAAAATCCATAACCCAGTAAAATCAAAATCATCCATTCCAAATCAGAAAATATTACTAATTATTTTTAACTGAGCAGGAATTGTGAATACAGGTCTATAGAAGAGTTCAAATGCATTTTTAATCTTTTTTTTAAAGCAGTATTGGTTGATTTGGATTTATGCAATATAGTTAGCCCAAATACCCAATCAGGTTACAATTAAGATATACTGTGTGATTGTGAGATTCTGAAGGAAGATGAAGTTATGAAGAATTCTAAAATTCCAAACCTTCTGAAGTTAGACAATTTTTTTCTGATCCTGATCCAGCTCAAACTGCCATTGATGGGAGCTGGAGCTGCTGGTCTAACTGGTCCGCCTGTCAGAGTGGAGAACGTCAGCGAACAAGAGAGTGTAATAATCCTGCACCTGGATCTGGGGGCAAATCATGTCCAGGAGCAACCGTAGAACCAGGCTATTGTTAATTGCAGAAGACAGGTTTGTAACTTCTGAATGTGTATAATGAATATGGTACAATTTTGATATAAGCCATGGGATATTCTGGATTCAATATTTCTGGAAGCAGCATATATGTCCAGTGGTGGGATTCAGCCGGTTCACACCGGTTCGGGAGAACCAATAGCTAAATTTACCTGAATTTGGAGAACCGGCTGGCTTCCAGAAGTCCAGTCTAGGCCTAGGAGGCCTGGAGGAGGCCTCCCAGGCCTAGAACAGCCCACTGGAAGTGTGTGGATGCCACTTCCAGAAGTCCATTCTAGGCATCAGAGGCCCAGGCCTGCATCAAATATGAGAACTGGTTGTTCAGGTATTTGAATCCCACCACTCAGCATATCCATATGGAGAGATGAAACTGTGTAGGTTTTGTTTGTTATGTTAGAAGGAAGGAAGGAAGGAAGGAAGGAAGGAAGGAAGGAAGGAAGGAAGGAAGAAAGAAAGAAAGAAAGAAAGAAAGAAAGAAAGAAAGAAAGAAAGAAAGAAAGAAAGAAAGAAAGAAAGAAAGAAAGAACTATTTGATAATTTGGAATTTCCTGGAACAGGAGGGAATGGAGAATGTCTTCTCAGAATTCAGCTACTGGCTGATTCAGAAAGAGCAAAGATTGGTAGGACTTGCTTGTTTTCAGTTCTTATTCCAATACCAGGTGCAGTGAGCATATAGCAATAGCACTTAGACTTATATACCACTTCACAGTGTTTTACAGCCCTCTTTAAGCAATTTACAGACTCAGCATATTGTCCCCAACAATCTGGGTCCTCATTTTACCGACCTCAGAAGGATGGAAGACTGAGTCAATATAGGGAGATCACAGATTGGATTTAAAATATGTTGGGAATGATTTGCAAATGGGACAGATGATGGCTTGGTCTGAGAAGGTTTTTTTAGTTAGGTCCAATTATTCTTACCATTACAAGCATACAGTATATTATTTGTCAGATTTGTATCCAGTCTTTCCCTCAGAACTTTAAGACAATAAACATAATGCTCCCTCCTCCATTTTCCCCCTAAGAGCAACCCTTTGAGATAGATTGGGCTGAGAGAACCCAAAACGTATCCAGAGAATAGCTGTAGCCAAGAGTCAACTTGAACCTGACTCTCCTCAGTCCTAGTCCAACACCTGAACTACTAGACCAGTATTTCTCAACCTGGGCAATTTTAAGATATGTGGAGTTCAACTCCCAGAATTCCCCAGCCAGCACTGGAGTTGAAGTCCACACAGCTTAAAGTTGCCGAAGTCGAGTGGTTCTTCCATAATAGGACCTGGTACAAATGCTGCAGGATATTTTCCCACTAAAAAGTTCAGCCCTGAGCTACATACTACATATTCTCTTTTATATGAGAAGTTTATATAAGAAAAGAAATCAAATAGTTAGGCCCCATGTCTTTCAGTCTTTAAACGTTAGAACTTCTATCCAAGCTTTGATCAGTATACAATCATTACTAATTCTATTTTATAACAATTTTTAAAACCTAAAAAATTAGATTAAATTATAAGGTTATGGTAACAGAATCTTGCAAGCCTGAAAGCCCTTCCCCTCTCCCCTGCTTTTACTTTCCAGGGAACTAGAGAGAGACCATTCTGAGATGCTTTATCCACCTTCATCCATCATTTAGACCAGGATGTCTCTTCTCAGACCATAGCCTAGGCCAGGGGTAGTCAACCTTGGCTCTTTTATGACTCGTGGACTTCAACTCCCAGAATTCCTGAGCCAGCTAAGCTGGCTCAGGAATTCTGGGAATTGAAGTCCACGAGTCATAAAAGAGCCAAGGTTGACTACCCCTGGCCTAGGCTCCAGTGATTCCTCCTATCTCCTAAGGTTATTCCCACAGCCCATTACAGGACAGCCTAGACTTCCAGTTAAGGGAAAAAAGGAGCAGAGAAAAAGAGCCCATGGACTGACAGGAACTTGCAGCCATGCATTCAAAACTCTTTGTGATTAGAAACAATGAAAATAAAGTTCAGCATCCCATCACCTGTAGCGAGGTCCATTCATTGGAAAGATGTGTTAAAAGGCTAGCCCACTAGTCACCCTCTGAAAGGAAAAGGGAAACTCCATTGATTGTAATGGGACTTACTGCAATCATTTCTGCAGATTTTTAGCTAAGGAATTTCTAACTTAGTTTTGCCTCTCTTTTTTTAGTACAGAAAACAAATGCATTTATAAAGGGTGAGTCTGTTCCAAACGGTAGGAGTCAGATCAGAAAAGGTTGTAGTCCAAGTCAGAAGCCACCAACTTTGCATCAGACCCTCTTCTCAAATTCCTGGGTGTGCAGCTAACGAGTAGGCTGACTTGATCGCTCAACAGTGAGAAACTGGTGAAGCGGGCACAGCAGCGCCTGCATTTTCTGTGTCGCATGAGAAAAGCACATCTTCCTTCCCCTGTCCTGACCACTTTCTACAGGGGGACGATCTAGAGCATCCTGTAATACAGCATCACAGTCTGGTTTGGAAGCATCACTGCTTCAGACAGGAAAGCAGTGCAGAAAGTGATGAAAATGGCCGAAAAGATCATTGGCAGTTCCCTCCCTCCCATCCTGGACATGGCACAGGAGCGTTGCTTGAGCAGGGTCCGCAAGATTGTCTGGGACACTACACATCCTCTTCATGACCTGTTTTCCTTGTTACCTTTTGGGAGGGGGCTTGTGGTATCCATAGCAAAACATCCAGATTCAGCCATAGTTTCATTCCATACAGCATTAACCTTGTGAACTCTCAAGCTACCTCCTTCCGTTATATATTCAAGATGGACAGTATTTAATATTTATTTGCTATGTATATGTATGGATATGTGTCTATACATATGTTGTTCATAGTATGTTTAGATGTGCATCATGTATGTGTTTCACTTTGAGAGCGGGCAACTAAATTTCATTTTTGATATGTGCCGTTGTGCCCACAGTAAAAAAAATGACAATAAAGGTTATCTTATCTTATCTTATCTTTTCATATAGATGTTCTCTGTGTCTTTCAGCAACCTGAATGTCCCTGTCAGATCTACGGATCAAGATTCTTGTGACCAGATTGAATTAAAAGCTATTGATCCATTAATCTCTGGATTTCAGAACACCACTTTGTACTACACAATAAATGTGATGGCTTGCAGAATGCACATCTGTGTTATTTGGCTTCATGGTGGGTCAGTTTTCCTACTTTGGAATGCATTCACCAATATATTAAAAGTAGTTTGATTATAACTTGGTAATATGTAAATATAATTAATGATATTTTCAGATTCATACTCTTCATCTGAGCACACGTTATAATCGAACCTCACTGTAATGGACTAATTTATGTCACTTGCATAACAATGTCATAGTACAAAAGATGTAAATCCCCACAGAAATTTGATCCATTGGGTTCAAAGTTCTTATCTTAAGGTCTGGAAAATACAGTTTTCCACATATTCTCAGAATCCTAGACTAATAAGATGCATCTGCAGCCACATGAGAGCAAGTGCTATCCCTCAAGTGCCTCTTTCATGCATGCAGATCTGTCCATGGAAGCTTAGCCTTCAAGTAGCAGATAAGAATATGTGAACAGGCCACCGGCAGTTTGAAGAACGTTCTTTGTGCTGCTTTAATAAATGCTTTCTTGGCTATAATACCTTGTTTGGACACAATAGGAAAGGGAAAGTAAAAGGGCAACACCACACTTCCTCACCACTGTTGTGGAACATGCATGGCACCTGTACTGCTTAAACAAACAATTATACCACAGGAGCATGGTACTGACATGATATGAATCAAATAAATAAATAAGTAAAATGAATGTTTTCTGCTTCTGATATCGTTGGCAGAGCTTTGGGCCAGATATCAAATACTAAAAGTGCAAACACTATGAGCCAATATTTCACAGTTTAAAATAAGGATAGCCAGGTGGTGAGAGTGACACAAGCCCTGTTCAAGCATTAAATGAATGCAGTGTTTAGGACCATGCTCCAACCAATGGCGGTCCTGCTATTACTTATATATGGATACTTATATTGATCCCATTAATTTGGTTTCCTTCAGATGTGGTAGACCACTTCCCAGATCCTCAGCCTGCAGAACCAAAATATTTTTATTTACTTAACTAAAAAAATGTATATAGCTGCACAACTCATAGGTGACTCCAAGTGGCTCCATAATGACCTCTTATAAAAGAGTTATGGTGGGGGCCAACCATATCTTAGGAGGGATGATGTTCTATAGAGAACTTGGTCGAATGTTGGGCAGTTTGTTTTGTTTATGTTGGCTTGGAAGTTTGGAAGCCCAAATCCAGTTCATCTGTGAAGCATCAGATTTAGTGTGTATGTATGTAGAACTTTGTGATACTTGCATACAGTGTTTCTGATTATTCATGGAGTCTGAACCATACATAAAGATTTATGCAAGCAGAAACTCTTTGAAAATAGGTTAATTAAATGAACCTCTTAGTGATATTTGGTGGAAAAATGCATTCTATGCAGCTTCTCCTTTCCTTCCCTAAATATTTCCTTCTCATCTTGGCTACAATTCTGGGTAGCAAAATTTAGCAACTTTTCTGTATTCAACTTTTTGCAGTCCCGATTGACAACCTTAGTCTTACCCCATTATAAGATTATATTCTGGTCCCAATTATCATCATATTTTGAATATGTTTTCATGATGAATATAAGACAGGTTTTTTTTTCAAACCTGCCAACTTTAAGATGTTTGGACTTCAATTCAAAGTTGCTGAGTTTGGAAAACACTGACATAGGAGCAACTTTTAATCTTCATAGATGTTTGTTCTTAGAAGGAATTCATATGCATTCCCATTTCTGCATTACTCCTATTCCCTCTTCACAAATAATGCATTCTTATAGCAGCTGGGTACTTGATGTTCAAAGGTGTACAGGAGCACAGGAATACAGGTGTACATTTTCAGTGTCTTAAGAGAAATGCCAGGAACAGATTTCAATTATCCAGCAGCTGCTGAGACCCACAGATGTGCAGCAATATTCCACTGCTGATCCTTCCTCCCTGGTCTTATTCCTTGTTCATTAACTCTCTCCAAGCATGAAAATGCTCCATGTTGAGTTGAATAAGAATTCAGACTGAATCAATTACACAAATATGTGCTTGCTTATATAAATGCAGTATTATGTGTTTGCCTTTAATCTGCATTGCACTGTTGTCATCCTGAAGAATGGAATGCTTGAGAAAATACTGATTGGTGCTAATTGGTGCCTATTAGTGACTCAACTGATCATAACACTTATGCCTTGACAGAGCAGATTCAAGAGTGTCTATCCCAGTGCATTCTTATCTCTTCCTCATTCCTCCTAAAGTCCAGGGTCAGCTGGGGAGAAAAACAATTAGTGTCTTGACATTCATAACAAAGCTGATCTTTTGCAAAGCAATGTTTTCACACTGTGAAGTATGCCCATACAGTGTGTGTAGCAATCTCTAGTCCAAATAAAGGAGCATGGGCATCTATTTTTGCTATGGTTATTTACTCGCTTTTATGGTTGTGCGCTGATAAGAACCGATTTCCATTTGCTGGCATTGTATGAAAAAACACCTTAATTGCTTGAACTTCAGACAAACTTTCTTTTTCACTTCAGGCTGTTACGTGCCAAAGAACTAGACTCTATGCAAAAGCTGGAAGGAACATGTATTGTTTGCAAGACAATAGTTATACTGTTTTAACTGTAAAGCGAAATGAGTTATGCAAAGTATTACAATGGCAACAGCTAGGAAAATGCAATATATTTTGACATTGAACGATTCTGAATTTCTGAAAGCAGAATAAAGAGCACAGAGATAGCTGTTTGACTTGAATAAAAATATTCAAGGAGGCATGTAAACTAGGTGCATCAAAATTGTATAAAAATGGTATAACCCAGCTTGATGCTCAAAATGAAACATCAGAAGCAACAATACTGTGTCTTGGAAAGTGGAAGGAGCAGTCTGATTCATTTTTAGGCAAATGACTTCTGCACACATGCAAAGACTACTAAAGAGTCAGAGAAACAGCTAAAGTGTTATGGCTTCTCTGTTAACTCAAAGTATCCCACTGCTTCACTTTTCAGATCTGCTTTCAATGATTCAAACTTATCCGGCCCAGTGAAGATTCACACAGTCCTAATCTATGTTCTCTGCCTTCCCCAATTTTATCTTTCTCAGCCAGTGTAAGAGTGAAGGATTATCTAAAGTCCTCCAATACATTATGTGGCTGAAGGAGGATTTAAAGCTGGATGAAGGCCTTGATATCTGTGTTGCACAGAAATTTTCATCTCCACTTTTTCTTGTAAAATCTAGTGAAAACCAATCTTACCATAGATGCAATTGCCATTCATAAATGACATACTTAGAGCAGTTGTATGTAGGGTTAGGGCAGGTCATAGTGGTATAACTTTAGCTCCTGCTTGTTGTGTTCTTATGGATTTATTTCTCACCTTGTAGAATTTGAAGATGTGGAGAGACAAGTGGTACTACTTGGTTTACATAGTCATTGTCTTGATAGAATGATTAAATTTATTAATGCAAGACTGGGTCAATAGTTAAGACAGGTAATCAGTGTCTTTTTCTTGATAGGTGATTCCCTCTGTGCCTAAGGATACAATAATAAGGACTTTACAGAAAAAAAGTATCCCATGATTTGGAAACTGGCATGATCATGTTTCTGAGAAAGATGGGGATAGCCCTACATTTCCAGATGCATCTACATTATAATGATTGACCAGAGCCATTTTAGTAGGGCTTTCATCCAGATGATGATACCGAATCTTTATTTGTGTCTTGGTGGATGATCCACTCAGAATATTGGGAAGAATGAAGCTTTGCTGGTTCTCTTGGAGGTCTTGGCAACTTTTAATAGCATTGACCATGATGTTAGAGAATAAATTATGAAAAAGTAGACCATTTGGAGTGATGTTTTACAATAACTACATAAGTATCTTTGCTTAAATGTAAATACCCACTTACCCACTACCCATCTTTTGCAATTGTCTTTGCCTCAGAGTGCTTATTAACCCACTACGGTAATAAGCTTGCAAGGAATTTCATTTGCATTCAATAAATTCTTGACATTTTCTGAGCTAAGGACTCACCAGCCTTTGAATATCTCTATAAGATAATGAGGAATGTTCACTGCTTTTCAGGGAGAAATTCCTTTACAGATGAATTCACATCTGCCCAATTCCAGGGATGAGCCAGACTGAAGTGATCCATGGCTTCTTAAACATCTTTCCCTACATGTATTGTTTTGAAAAAAAAATAGGTGCCCTGATGTCTTAGTCCTTGATCTGTGCCACATTGAGGCACACATATCCACCAGCCTTTCCCCAAAATGGTGCCTTAGAAATGTGATGGTCATATCTCTCAGTAAGTTGTGATGGCTCAGTGGTTAAAGATGCTGAGCTTGTCAGCTGGAAACCTGGCAGATGGGTTCAAGACCTGAGCACCACATGCCAGGTTGAGTTCCTGTTACTTGACCCAGCTCCTGCCAACCTAGCAGTTCGAAAGCATACAAATGCAAGTAGATAAATAGGTACAACTTCGATGGGAAGGTAACAGCATTCTGTGCGCCTTAGCCACATGACCACGGAAGTGTCTTTGGCTGACACTGTCTCCCTCAGCTAAGAAACTGAGATGAGCACTGCCCCCTAGAGTCAGACATGACTGAAAAAGGGAAATCTTTGTCTTTATAATTCTTAGAATTCTTATCCTGTATGGAAACTGTATTCTAAATTATCTGGACAATATCCGATGGCACAGGGGTTTTCAACCGGCGGTGCTCGCACTCCCTCAGGGTGCAAGATGATATTCCAGGGGATGCAAAAACTTGAGTTTAGAAGTTTCAAAACCAGGTATTACTTTTGTAAGGGGTGTAATAATATATCAGAAGCATTCTAGGGGTGCGGGATATAGAAAAGGTTGGGGACCGCTGAGATAGGGGGGAAAGATGGGGCAAATTACACACTAGAGATAGTCAATCTGCACTTCTGATTTGAGAACCCTTATATCTGAGGTTGGTTCAGATCTCTAGTACAAGCTACTTGTCTACCTGTTGCATGGGGCAGGGAAGAAAGAGAGAGAGGTAACAAAAATAAAAAATAAAAGGAAGAGACACAAAGTAAAAACATTTCTATTTCTACTATTGGCTACGGTTGCACCCGTTGCTTGCTTCAATGTTTCCCACTTGCCACCTCTTTCAATGGGTATAAAATAAGCGTTTCCAACTAACAATGTTTTAATTAAAAGATATAAAAACAACTGGAAAGCATTGGATATATGCTAATTACTTCCACCTGTAATCATTTTTACTGACTGTATTTTCAGAGGTCACTACAAAAGAAGTAAATGAATGCCTAGGCTTTAATTTAGATATTGGTGCCAATATAATGTTCATAGAAGCCAATACAAAGGTTAAACATGAAAAATGTAAAAATGAAAAGTTGGAAAACGGTAAGTACCTTAGCTCCTGCATTTTTCTGACATTTTGATCCCTAAGTTTACATTTTAATTGGTATGTTGTATCCCTCATACTGGAACTAAAATGTATTGTTGGAATATGTCAATTATGTACTCTATAATCACATTAAGTAATGAGTAATACTAATATATATATTAATGCCAATATAATTCACTAGCATGCCAATCACTAAATAATGCTGTGATATAGTAATGTTTATGTCATCTATTTGTGTGCATAGACTTTCATGAAAGTTAAAGTATATTAGACTTGCAAAAAGCAAGCAAAGAAGGCAGAAATTTTTGCTCAGGAAGATTTCAATTGATGCAGTGTATGGAAGTTGACCAGAATGAAGAATGTGCCAAAGGGACAGGTATAATCACAGAAGAGTCTTGTAGTCTGTGGAAACCCTCATGCAGAACAACCTTCTATATGTGTGTCGTACTTCCATAGTTATGGAATAAGTCTGCCCAACTAGATTTTGAATTGGGTAGGTGCACATGGATGTGCTATTGGATAAGGGAAGTTTTCAATTTAAAATGTAAACAAGAATGGCAATTGTGCATTTGTTTTTAGGTGTTAGTCTCTGAAACAGAACAGTATTTAGAGATACATTCAGTGGTGGGATTCAGCTGGTTCGCACCACTTCAGCAGAACCGGTAGCTAATTTTTTGTTGCCCAGGCCCAGAATAGATTTCTGGAAGTGGCATCCACACAGAGAACCAGTTGTTCACATATCTGAATCCCATCACTGGATACATTCTAGTACAGTGGTTCTCAACCTGTGGGTCGGGACCCCATTTGGGGTCGATCGACCATTTCACGGGGGTCGCCAAGCAAGGCTGTCCGCCATTTTTTTGTCCGCCATTTTTTTGTCCGCCATTTTTTTCCCCTTTTCCAGCGGGTGCCTTACCTCCCTTGGGCTGGGCCAGCTGGTGGTCGGCCTGCTCCGTCTCTGCTGCTTGCCACCTACGCCTCGGCCGGCGCAGGGGGCGGAACCACGCATGGGCGGCGCTCCCGGGCAGGGAAAGTCCTTGACTTATGACCGGTTGGGTAGTCCTGGACTTACGACCGGTTTAGTCAACTTACGACCGGTTTAGTCCTCGACTTACGACCGGTTGGGGTCGCGGCATTAAAAAGGTTGAGAACCACTGTTCTAGTATATGCCATTTACATAAAAAGAGTGGGATTTCAGTCACACAACTGAAGCTGCCTTCTTGAATTTTTCTCTCTCACATACATATATATCCTCTCTCTGTGTGCATGTGTGTGTTATTCAACAAAGGCAAATTTGACTTATTCCTCCTCCACATAATCTATTTCCACATAATCTATTTCCATTCTTCATTCTTAATATGTACTTGTGCATTTCAAGGTTTAGTTTAACTATATACTGAAAAGTAAAATGTTCTTATCTATAGTTTTGTAATCCTTACCTATGCAGAGCATCCATCCACCCCCAACTTGGCCAGTGGGCTTTATATTTCCCATGCTATGTCTTAACTGCATTTTATTTCATTGATATTGAAAAACTTTAATTGTCATAATCCATCCAGAACACTTTGGTTTCAGAGATGATAAGAAAAATATAGCACACAATAAGCTAGGGTTTTCTTTGAGCTTGAGCACAACTCTTGTTGACTACATGAACATGTCATGTTGTCTATGGCATGTTTTTTTTTTGTTATTGCTTTCTTCCAGAATTTTTTTTAACTTTCCAAACTAGCACATGACCCTGACATTTCCACATGGTCTATTGATCAAATACTAATCATATCCAACTTCACTTAGCTTGTTCATGAATAGCCAAGGTGAGCTAAGTACTGCCATACATTGTGGTAAGTAGATTAGAATACAACAGAATAGATAGGAATGTTGACTCAAGACAAATCCAATAAATAAAGGAGTGGGGTTTGTTTATCTAAATAAAGCATGCTCACTCTTTTTGTCCATGGCTTAAAAGTTTCAGGTGAGGAAGAATAATAAGATGCACATCATTATCTAACACTTTCAATTATAACACTTAAATATTGGCAGAATTTGGTCTGGGTACTCATGTTTTGTTTTGTTTTGTTCAGGCAACTGCCTGGATTAGTCCTGACAAAGTTTTTTCAGATGTGGTTTATCATTGCTTCCTTCCCTGGGCTGAGAGTGTGTGACTGGCTCATAGTTACCCAGATAGCTTTGTGCCTAACAAGTTTTGAGCCTGCTGCCTTAACTACTATACTAAATTGGCTGTCCCAAACATTCAGTTGGTCCCCTGAAAATTAATTGTGTAAAACATAGTTTGGGTACTTTATTCATAGTTTTAGCATGTTGCTTAGCCTTATTTTGCCATACTTTGCTTCTGCATTAATCTGGGGAGAATGGCTTCCTAGCTAGCACATTGAGAATTGTTTCAAAAGTGGTTGTTTCACAATCTACGGATGGTGTGCAGTGTTCTACACAGAGGTAAACTGCACTCTCTTGCTGCAGAACAGGTAACATTAGCAACCATGAAGCCGGATCTGATTATCCAATCAGGTTAGATGTCATTGTGCATATGTCTGCTCTGTTGCAGAAATTATGTGTTGTTGAGTCTTGGTAATGGTAAATTTCTTGTGTGGGGGGGAATACAGATCGACCAGCCGTAAAAGAGACTGTGGTCCATTTCTTCCTGAAAAGACAATCACTAACATGACATTGATCACAGTTCTAGACAGGAACAGGGTGAGGGTGGCATCTCCATCTCAGAGGCCTTCAATTGATTAACTAGAACTTAGCAGCAAATTGCCAAATTGGGATAATGTAATCTGAGGGCTTTTGTAGGCTCCTACAATAGGACTGTATGTTTCATTTCCATGAGATGTGGGCTGCCTTAGAATGATAGTAAGGTTGGGTTGCAGATGGAATAAAGGCTACTAAAAGGATCTCTAGAAGCATAGCACCTGTATATCTCTAGGTCATGAAATAATTGAAGAGTGATCAAGTAACATGCCTATTCTAATACATTGCTTGGTCATTTAGGCATCATGGAATTCAAGCAGGAATCCCTAAATTATTCACTGAGTCACTGGGTCACCATACCACCTGAAAGATGACCCCAGCAAATCAATTGCTGCCAAGGAATATACAAGTTTAAACTTCCTCAATCTGGACAAATATAGTTGATAGAAATGTACAGTTACTCCATTTTCAACCATAGTAAACATCATTTTCCTTTCTTCAAAATTATAGTGAAAAATAATAATTTTCACTTTTAATCATATCATCTTCATTATGATCATCTTCATTATTCAGCGAAGTTGTTCTGATAAGCCACTCTTCTTCTTTTTTCACCTCCTATTCTTTTCTCTTCCAGGTTCTACTGATGACAAGAGTGGAATTATCCAAGATGTAATCTCCTTAATTCAAGGTGGGACAACAGCTACTTTAACAAAGTTGAATGAATTGCTTTCTTCAAATGTCAAGGCAGTTGATGTAGAACAGTATGGTGAATGGGCTGCTACACTACCTCAGGCTCCTACAGTGATCAGTCAAGAGGTGAGAGGGTTTTCTTCTATCAATGTTGGAGAGGGGTTTTTTTTGAATAAATTTGAACCTACAAATGAAAATGTGAACCTACAAATGAAAAAGTTTTCTTCTTTCCTGAAGAAATATTTAAAAGTTAAAAGATTTTCAGAATCAAAGATTCTAGTCAAATACAGGTAATCCTCAAATTACAACAGTTCATTTAGTGACCGTTACAACTGCAGTGAAAAAATTGACTAATCACTGTTTTTCACACTTATGGCCATGGTAGCATCCCATGGTCACATGATCAAAATTCGGACACTAGGTAACTGACTCATACTTATGATGATTGCGGTGTCCTGACTCCTGGGGTTATGTTACCTTCTGAAACCTTCTGACAAGCAAAGTTAATGGGGAAGCCAGATTCACTTACTCAATGTGTTACCAACTTAACAACTGCAGTGATCCACTTAATAACTGTGGAAAGAAATATTGTAAAATGGGGCAAAACTCATTTAACAAATGTCTCATTTAGCAGCAGAAAATTTGGGCTCAATTGTGATCATAAGTCAAGAACTACCTGTAAATCTAAAACTGCCTTCAAATGAAGTTTGAATCTGGTGGTGAAGTGAACATTTCCATGAGGTTTTCTGGCGATGGTTTACTACCACTTTCTTCAAACTTTTTTTTTACTTTACATTCTAATTAAAAGTCCTGGGAGTTCCTAATGAACTTTCCTTCCTTCCTTCCTTCCTTCCTTCCTTCCTTCCTTCCTTCCTTCCTTCCTTCCTTCCTTCCTTCCTTCCTTCCTTCCTTCCTTCCTTCCTTCCTTCCTTCCTTTCCCTTTTCATTGGAGGCGGGCAGGCTCATGCAAGACTTTTGAAATCTCTGTACCTCTACTTTAGTTTTCCCAGCAACCTTTATTTTTATATGCAGCAGCAGCAGCAGCAACAGGTCTGTAGTAAACAAATATTATAAAGTCTGCATCTTTAAGAATCAAAGAATTCTTAAGAGGTAGGTATAACTATAGCAGAGCATGGATGTTCTCAGGATGCAGTGCTGTATTCTGCACAGAACTGCATAATGACTGAAACTGAAAAAAGTGCACACATACATGTGGTTAAATGTTTTTGCAGTTGTCCCCAATTTCCGAACTTATTCCACTGAATATCCCAGACTCCCGATTAAAGAAAGAAAATCTGAACAGAGCTGCAGAGGATTATGTGGCTGAATACAGCGTATGCAAATGTCGGCCTTGTTTACATGGTGGGACAGCAATGCTGATAGAAGGAAAGTGTGAATGTGCCTGCACTCCATTTTACAAAGGAGAAGCCTGTGAAATACTTGCTTCAACTTTCATACCAGGTTAGAAGTCATTCAATGATTTACCATATATTTTAATGGCTCTCTTAGCTCTACTGTGTTATTTAAAAATATAAAAAACTTAAAATTGTAAGCAAATAAAATAAGAAGCTATTATATTAAACAAAATCCATAACCCAATAAGTGGCAATCAAATCAAAGCCACCCATACTACCATTTATTCTTAACTGAGTAGAATTGCAACTATGAATACATGTTTATATGTATTCATAGTTGCAATTCTACTCAGTTAAGAATAAATGGTTTATACTACAGAAGAGTTTATACTATAGAAGAGTTCAAATGTAATTAAAACAATGCTAGTGTCCATACAGGATACTGTAAATAAGAATGTATTTTCTCCCATAGATTTATTAAGTCCTCTTATTGTTTTTGACCAGGTTCATGCACTTTACTAAAGTATGTACTGTTTAACCATTGTTTCATGGGAAAAATAAACTCTATTTGTTGATTCGGATTTATGCAATAAGTTAGCCCAAATAGCCAATATAATTAAGATATATTGTGCGACTGTGAGATTCTGAAGGTAGATGGAATTATTTCTGAAGTTCTAAATGTTCTGAAGTTAGACAAATGCTTTCTGATCCTGATCCAGCTGAAACAGCCATTCATGGGAGCTGGAGCTGCTGGTCTAACTGGTCTACCTGTCAGCAAGGACAACGCCGGCGAATAAGAAAATGTGATAATCCTGCCCCAGGATTTAGGGGCAAGTCATGTCCCGGAGAAAACTTAGAACCAGGCTATTGTTAATTGCAAAAGACTACTAACAGGTTTGTAGCTACTGTATACGTTTAAATAATGAATATGGTACAATTGTAACATAAGATTTTGGGACACTTTGGATTTAACACTTCTGGAAATATCTTATGCACTTCCTATGGAGAGATTAAACTAATGAAGGATTTGCTGGTTTAGTCAGAGAGAAGGGAGGGAGGGAGGGAAGTTCAAGACAACAAATATAATGTTCCTCCTCCAAGAGCAACCTTGTGGGTTAGATTGGGCTGAGAGAGAATGACTGGCCCAAAGTCACCCACGGAACATGGAACATCTGTAGTCAAGGGTCAACTTGAACTGAACTCTCCTCAGTTCTAGTTCAATTCCTAAACTGAATGTTTCTCAACCTGGGCAACTTTAACTTGACTTCAACTCACAAATTCTTTGCCAGCATGGAAGTTGAAGCCTACACATTTTAAAGGGTTGAGAAACACTGTACTAGACCACACTGGCTCTTTCATAATAGGCATTAGTATAGAAAATTGCAGGATATTCTCTAAAAAGGGATCCTCTACCAGGGTCTATAGTTTATACCAGGGGTCTTCAAACTTGGCCCTTTTATGACTTGTGGACTTCAACTCCCAGAATTCCTCAGCCAGGCATGCTGGCTGAGGAATTCTGGGAGTTGAAGTCCACAAGTCATAAAATGGCCAAGTTTGAAGACACCTGGTCTATACCCTGTAGTCGGCAACAACTAGCCGACTAGTAAAATCCAGAGGGACTCCTTTACCCTTTTACCAGGTTCTACCCAGCCATTCTCTTTGGATTAAGGCATCCTTTGTATCCTTTTTTTTCCTCTCCAGTGTGCCCTTTGTCTTTTCAAAGTGACATTTACTGCTTCAAAGAGAGCTAGGTGTCAATGTGCTTCTACATTTTTTTTTTCACTTTTCAGGAGTTACAATTTTGGTTATAGTTGTGACAAAGTGTTTTTATTGATATTTGTTGCAGATGTGGAAGTGGCCATTTGTACCCCTGGTTTCTTTCTTTCTGTACTATCAGTACCTATTTAGCAATTTTTTGGCTCTATAGCTATCATTATTATGGAAATGTATTTCCTAGGATTATTCTTAGTTGTTGTAATAAGAAGAGCAACAGCAGCACCAGTAGCATATCCTCAAGGTAACTAATTATATAATAGGCCAAACCACAATTCATTTAATCAGAAAGGTCTGATTAAAGAGAAAACACATGGCTCATTTTCTCAAAGCAGAAAGAATGGTGGACCCCCTCCCCCCAATAAAACATTCTTTTGTTTGGAACAACATAGCTGAAAGTTCTCACTTACACTCTTGATAAATCAAACTCAGAATGCAAGAGCAGCCTTAAAAGCATTCTCTTGCTGATATTAATATCCGGACAGATTGGTAAGATCTGGATAAGATAAACCTGTGGAGTCTTTGTGCTCGTTGAGCTTGGTTGTTTGCTTGGTTGTAAACATCATGTTATCTAGTTGGGTAACATAGAAGACATAAGAAGAGAAAATAGAAGACAAAAATATTTGACTAATAAAAAAACTAGGTGAAGAATTTATTTCAGTGGGTGCAAAAATATTAATTGAGTCATTTTATATATAAAAACTTAAAATCTTAAAACAAAATTATTAATATGAGATTACCATGGCAGGCTTGTTGCAGAAGAGGTGGAAATAAAATCAATAATAGTGGGACTTTATGTACTAAATAATGACTAAGTTAAATTTTTTAAGCATCTTATGGATCAGCTATTCAAGGGCTTTACGCATCACAGCAAACACATATTATTGTTAATGGAGATTTAACCAAGTTGTGTGAAAATCAAAAAGGTACAAGCAAGCATGCCCCATGTCCTCAGTGTTGTTCATTTTAATTTTGGATAGAAATATTAACCAAGATGAAAAAATAATGGGTATGAAAATGAAAAATGAAATTTATAAAATGAGAGCGCTTGCTGACAATTTAGTTATATTTTTAAAAGACCCCAAAAGCGGTATTGATGAAGACGTTAAGTGACTTTGGAGCTTTAATGGATTTCAAAATAAATAAAACAAGAAAATAAAAATTCTGGTTAAGAATATGAAGCATATGAAAATGAATATTCAGGATTATGAAATCTTAATAAATAAGTCAGGTTTTTAAGGTGGAGAAAAAGAATCAAATATTTTGGAGTGGCACTGACAACTGCAAACTCTAATAATTTTGTGCCTGTTTTGAAAGATATTTAAAAAGATCTAAACATTGCAATTATCTTTGTTGGGGAGAATCTCTGTAATTGAAATGAATATTTTACCAATGATGTTCTTTTTATTCCAGACGTAGTCAATATTGACGATTGATGCTCCAGCTAAACAGTGGCAAACAGATTTTTCTAAATTTATATGGCAAGGAAAAAAAACAAGAATTAAATACAACTTGTTGCAAGATGCTAAAAAAAGAGAAGGTTTGGGTTTACTAGATTTAAAATTGTATTTTGATACTTATTGCTTTGTCTGGCTGTAAGACTGGGTGATCATTAAAAATAAGAGGTTAATAGAACTGGATGGCATACCTATCTATGGCATGACAAGGTTAAAATAAATGCCAACTTTAGGAATCATTTTGTTAAGTATTGCCATCCTATGAATTTGGAATAAATATAAAATAAGGCTCTCTCCTATCTGTTTGGGTGTCACCTCAGGAAGACTTTTTCAGAAAAGAAATTATGGTGAGACTAAAACCATGGATTTATGGTATAATAATATCTTTTACTCAAGGGCAACCTAACCTCAAGTCAAAAGAATTGAAGTCAGAAGGACATGTTTGTCACTGGCTCACATACTTACAACTGAAAGAAAGATTTAATTTAAACAAGAAAAGTTTTGAGTTTGAATCTATAAAAATGAATTTGAAATTGTACTGTGTGCTAATGACAAACATGTTATTGTCAAGGTTTAAAACAAGTTGTTGAAACTGAATCTGGAAAACAAATATATGAAATATTGCATGAATCAATGAGCAAAAAATAATGGGTATAATATAATCCTTGAGGACTGGGAAAATTTGGATGCTTGGTCTTAAATTTACATTGAATTATAATTTGAAAGGAAACTTTTATAAAATGGTATCATTGGTACTTAAAGCCTGACAAATTGTTTAACATATACTGTATTAAGACATTTCAAATGTATGTTTGAAATATTGTTGTAAATAAGGAACTTTTTATCATCTTTGGTATATCTGTGATAAAACAAAGAAGTATCAGGGCCAGATTTATACTTCAATTCAGAAGACTCTTAAAATGAATATAAAATTGAAACCAGAGGCTTTTCTTTTAGCACTATTATATAAGGAGCTTGAAAACAAAATGGAATTTTGCTATTATATATTGACTGCAACAAGAATTTTGTATGTGCCAAGATGGAAAGATACATCAGTCCAGTGGTGGGATTCAAATATGTGAACAACTGGTTCTCTATGTGAATGCTACTTCCAGAAGTCCATTCTGGGCCTCGGCCAGAACTCAACAAAAATTTAGCTACCGGTTCTACCGAACTGGTATGAACCAGCTGAATCCCACCACTGCATCAATCCCTTATAATGGAAGAATGGATGGAAAAAGTGATGGAATTGGCAGAGATGGCAAAATTAACTGTTTAATCATTAAAATATATATATCTAGTTTTGTTTCTACTTGGAGACCCCTTCTAGACTTTGTGTTCTAAATAGGAAAAATGTAATTCAGGTTTAGGGTTTTGTTGATTAGATTAGTTTGCTGTTATAGAAATGTTTAGTTCTTACTAAATATGCAAGAGTAAAAAATGGAGGTTGTAATTCTTTTTTGTATTTTACTGTGCTGAAAAAAGTTGGAGATTGATGTTTTATTTTCTCTTTCCCTCTGATCCTATACTTCTCTTTCCTCATTTCCCTACTTCTTTGTTTTCATTTGTATTTTATATTATATGATACTCTGAATAAAAAACTTTTAAAAAGTTAGAACTTCTATCCAAGTTTTGATCAGTATACAATCATTACTAGTTCAATCCTATAACAATTTTTTTAAATCTAAAAATTGAGGTTGATAATACTAAATTTTTTGACTTGTGCAAATTGTTGATAATTATGAGAATTGTAGCATTGATACATTTAATGGGAGAAGGCCACTATATTAAGGCATATTTTGGTTACACCTAAGTTGGCTTCAAAAATTAGTGACTAGCCATGATATGCATTAGACTGCAGTATATGCCCTTTGTC